CAGAGGGCAGAATGGCAGCTTCTAGTATGCTGTCTTGGTAAACAGATGTCATCTTCCTCATCTTGCATGCTGTCTGAGATACACATTGGTGATGACCAGTGACACATCTGATTTTCTTAATGTCAGGTGAAAAGTACATTGCATTGAGCTCGCACTTATATTGTAGTCCTAGTCTTCCAGTGATTCGCTGACATGTCAGGAGGATGAACTCACCTATCTAGGGTAGGAATAATTCCTGTACTTAGGATTTCATTATAGTGCTGAGGAGGTATAAGAGTCAACAGATGGGCACAATAGTATAAAGAACTCCACAAAAACAAGGGACTATGCTTAGATACAGCATCTCCACAAAGTAATTATTTACTTATTATTTTTATTTTATGTGTATACATGTATTGCCTACATGTATGGAAGTTCAGTCGTGTTGTTCAGTGCCCACAGAGGTCAGAAAGGGTGTCTGGATCCCCTGGAACTGAGTTATAGACAGTTGTTAGTCACCATGTGGGTGCTGGGAGTCAAACCTGGCTCCTCTGCAAGAAAGCCAGTGCTCTTAATCACTGAACCATCTATCCAGTCCCAAGGTCTTTGTTTTCTGCAATTACTATCTTTTCTATCACTTTCTTATTTCTTTTGTACTTTGACATATTCTTTCTTCTCCTCACAGACTGTTGTATTTCAGCAGTTTTCCCAGAGCTGAATTGACTTCTTTGATTTTCCCCCAATGCAGAAGAGGATGAGCAGTTTAGAATCTAGTCCGTGTGGGAGGCAAGGCATTGATGCACAGGCCTGGCTTTTTTTAATCTTTTTAATTTCTTCCTCTTAGTGAGTTCACCTCTCAATAATGATCTCCAAATCTAACTATGTCCTTTTCTTTGTCCAGCTGAACCTGATGGGGCAGTGGCTGCTGCTGCCTTCTCCACTTCTTCACTTTCTTCCTCTTCCCCCTCTTCTCCTTCCTTTACCCTCCCCACCCTGGAATTCCTTATATTGCTTAATGCTCTCTGTGACAATTTCAACTGCTTTTCTCTCCTCTTTTTTGTGTATGAGTGTATTACATACATGTGTGTAAGTGCACCTGTGTCGTACAATGTCTGTGGAGGTCAGAGGACGGTGTTGGAGACCATAGAACTGGAGTTATGGACTGTAGCTGCCATGTAGGTGCTGGGAATTGAACCTGGGTCCTCTGCAAGTGCAGCCAGTGCTCTTAACTGCTGAGCCGTCTCTCCAGTCCCTCAGCTGCTTTTTTCTTATCCCTTCAAGTATATGTTCCCCTACCCTACTCCCTATTCATTCTGGTGAGACCAGAGACACCTAAAGTCTGTGTTTTATCTAAAGGAGAAGACTAGTCTGTGACTTAGCATCAGCAGGAAAGCTCTGAAATCTCACACAATTCTGAGTTCCCTAAGCTTATCATAATATAGTTGGTTTATGCAAAAAGTTTCAAGCCACGGCAGCATGAAACACACAGAAAGAACCAAACTTCTTGGTGTAGAACTGCACACAGCCAAGCACCACACTCATACACTGCTCAGCTCTTTACAAGTGTGGCCAAGTGTCATGATATATAGAGTAAGTAACTTAAATATAAAACAGGAACTCATTAGGTAAACTATGAATGTCCATATAAAATAAAGCCAATAAAATGATATTCTAGTATAACATGAAGTGCAGAAAGCAGAGCATGAGCACAGTGTGACTTCAGTTATGCAAAATTATTCATAGAAAAGACACTGGAAGGAAACCTGACAGGGGCTGTCTCAGATGGTGAGATCAGAAATAACGGGGATTCCATTTTATTCTTCATAGTTGCCTTGTATTTTTTTTTAAATAACAAACAGGGTATACTTTGTGGTCATAAAAACTAAAACTTTAAAGTGAAATAAAAATCATTTAGTAGATCGAATGGATGTACACCAAGGAAAGAAACTGACGTGGGAGGCAGCCCTCAACTATTCCTCTCCTGAGCAGTTTCCTTTTTATTAAAAATATTTATTTTTGTTTGAAAATGAAGGCTGGGTGTGGTGGTGCACGCCTCTAATCCCAGCACTCGGGAGGCAGAGGCAGGCGGAGCTCTGTGAGTTCAAGGCCAGCTTGGTCTACATAGTGAGTTCCAGGACAGCTGGGGCTACAGGGAGACCCTGTTTCAAAAAGACCCCCACCCAAATTTTTTTTAATTGAGTTTTTCTGCATTTAATATAATAGATCTTAATCAAATTTAGACCCCCTCCACTGGATTTCATACATTCTGTCATGCATTTTAAGTCCTATCTAGGCAAGTATTTGTACCTAGATGTCTCTCAGTGCAAGTTCATCCACTGGAGTCTAGTTAGCCTATCTAGAGTCACTTCTTTAAAGAAGATCTACTTGCCCTCACTTAGTAGTAATCAGTTGCCAATAGTTCCTCAGCTAGGGTTGGGGCCTGCTGCCCACTTCCCTTGTTCTATGAAGGATTTTTGTCTAATTGAGTGGGTATAGGTCTTGTGCATGCTGACACCATTGCTGTAAGTTCACATGAGCAAGCTCCCAGTGGCCTGAAAGCCTCTGTTTCCTTATGTTCATGTACCAACCCTGGCTCTTACAATCCTTCCACCCCCTCTTCCACAATGGTCCTTGAGCCATGGGTGGGTGATGTTTAATATAGGAGTCCTATCCAGGAACATGCACTCTTGCAGTCTCTTATTCTCTAAAATAGCCAGTTGTAGCCTTCTATGTGCATCATACTGTGTTGTGTGAGGAAACTTTGCTGGTGAAAGTTGAGGGATATATTAGTATTCTCTCTGCCCCTGTTCTGCTATGTTCCATGAGCCTTAGTGTAGAGGCTCCACTGTAGATGTGTCACTTAGGGCTGGGCATCTCTCAGACACATGTTCTCTATGTGTGACCAGTTGTGGAACTCTGTAATAGCCTCCATCTGTTGCAAAAAGAAGCTTCTTTGATGAGTGGTGTATTGTATACTTGTTAGGGTGATAGGCAGGTCTGTAGCAGGCAGATAAGGAAGCGAGGGGCAAGGTGGCAGGGCGGACAGCCTGTGGAAGATTAAGTTAGTCTGGATTAAAGCTAGTACAGGGACCTGAGGCAGAAGAGCAGGAGTGGGCCTGGCCCAAGGTGAGAAGCAGGACAGAGTCCAGGGAGAGAGTGGAGCTGCTCAGGCTGCAAGGGAATCAAGATTCAGTGGGTGAGATATGACTTACTAGGGTAGTAGGCAGATCTATAGCAGGCAGATCAGGAGGCCAGGGGCAAGGTGGGGGTGGAGACAGCCTGTGGAGGGTCCAACAAACTATATTAGAGGATTAAGCTAGTCTGGGTTAGGGAACTAGTCCAGAGATCCGAGGCAGAAGAGCAGGAGCTGGCCTGGGCCCAAGGTTAGAAGGAGGACAGAGTTACTGGGAGAGAGTGGAGCTACTCAGGCTGCAGGGGAATCAAGACGAAGTCTTGTGAGCAGTTTTAAGAGACTTATGAACCTGCTGGACCTAGTTCTCAGAAAGGACAAAGCACCTTGGTGTTTTCAAGAGAAGGACACTTCCTGAGTATTCCAAGTGGGAGGTGATAAATAGTTGCCTCCTGGCAACAGGGTCCAGGAAAAGGAAATTTTCTGTATATATTATTCCTGTAAGCACATGGACTGTCTGCATTTTAACCATGGGAATACCTTTATAAAATGGACTGCTCATGCCTTACCCTTCTTTAAAGGGAATGTGTTGAAGGATCATTTTTTCCTGTGCTTACTTATGGTCACCACTGGAGGCATCAACAGTCATGCAGTAAACAAACGGCTGAGTATTCCTATGACCCTCCAAGGCTGTGATTTTTAATTTCTGGGCCTGTCTTGTTCTCTCTGTTTTTTTCCTCTTTGTTGGACATGCAATGTCAACTATCAGGGTACAAATTCTTGCCTTGGAATCGGCTCTGACAGTACAACCATCTCCTCTACTCTTGCCTTCCTCTAGTCTGTTCTAGGTTATAAACCCAAGTACATCTGTTTGAGATTTGCCTAAAATAAAAATCAGTGAACTCAGAGTAAGAGTTAATGGGTTATTCAGATCTTTTTGTCATGTATAATCTATATAATCAAGTTTTCTGAGTAGGTGGAATTTCACAGGAATGAAGTGGTCAGAAATTACTATTTGATATATTAGTTATGCCATAATTTATTTCAAAAATAAAGAGAAAAGAGTAATAAGGTACCTTATTATTTTCCAAAGTTTGTAGCAAACATTCCAACCTCAAAGCACGAGAACACACACACACACACACACACACACACACACACACACTGAGGGGAAAGGGGGATTCGTGTAGCCCAGACTGCGTTCAATCGAATTTCTGATTGGTGACAGGTTCATTCAGTACTGGGGAATCAAAACTTGGTCTGTAAGATTTTTAAAAAAACACTCAACCCCAAAAACACGAAAACCAACCCCCACACACACCCACACACACACACACACACACACGAAATCTTGCTCAAAAAACAAATACATCAATTAAAAGCAAAACTGCTCTGGTAAACTCAAGTAGGAGAGGCCCAAATCTTGTCTTCTTAGCTTCCTGTCTAAAACCATTTGGAAGCCTCTAAACACCTAGCTAGGAGCCAAGAGCCAAGAACAGTTTCATAAGTACCAGACTCTAATACATTTTGCAAAGTAACCCAAGCTGAGAGATGCAAACACTTTCTTGTTAAAATAAGAGCACCAGAATCTGTGTGGTGTGGGAGTAGATGCTAAAGAATCTTCATAGTAGGGAGGAGATGCTTCTGTGTTGTTTAATAATATTTCATTAAAATATTTTATTTCTATATCTCTAAGAGGAGGCCCTAGTGTTATCTAGTAGAAATCAAATGTCTCTGGAGAGATGAAACCAGAAACATATCCTGGGAGCCTGGTTAAAGGCCTTCACACAGGACAGATGGGTTCCAGCAGACTAGCCTGCCTTTTCTCACTCCAATATCTCACAGTCTCAGTGCTGGGGAGTAATCTAAGGTACCCTCCAGAGCCTCTTACCTGGTTATCTGGGTGGTTGACAGTGAAGTAGCCCACACAGACGATGACCTCATGAAGGAGGCTTTCACAGGAGACTTGGCTGCAGTGGCCCAGCAAGGAGCTGGCCATGTGCCTGAATGCAAGGGACAAGCCCTCTGCCCCTACAACAGACTGACAAAGACAAGAAGCAGTTAGAACTTTCCAGCCCAGGGAAAGCCAGGGCTGCAAATCATACAGCAAGCCTGGGCCTGTGCATGTTCTGCCTTGGGGCTGGAAGAGCATGACATTTCTACAGTACTATGGGTAACAGTTTGGGGTTCTTAATCCAATAAATGTTCATAATAAATGTAATGTTTAACCTGAAGGATAGAAAATTGAGTACAGAAGACCAAATGCACACAATACATGGATCAAGACATAATCTACTTAAAGAACAGTTATTTATTCTATGTTTATAATCTAATTTTTCTCATTACACAAATATTTTTATTGTAGAAAAATTGTAGAAGTATAAAAATACCAAAGTTCACTTGTGAATGTACCACTTAACTAATTTCCAACACTTTTTGTCTGAAGGAGAAAATACATTTTTTCCTTTGTTTTTAAGTTCTGGGGATTGAACCCAGGACCCTCCACATACTAGGAAGGTACTCTATCACTGGGCTACATCTCCCACCCTCATACATAGAGATAAACATATATTTCTAATTATGTATTTATGGTCAAATAGAAAAGAAATACAAATAAGAATTACTATTATTCAAATAAATAGCTTTCTAAAACAAAGGCTACCAAAAGAATGTGAAAAATCAAACCAAAACAAAAAAATCCTCCCCCAAACCAGGGAGCCCCTCAGCTACAAGGCTTCTGGGATCTTTTCTCCAGACAGGCTAAGGGCTGTCAGCGGTGGGCGAGTCAGGAGGAGAGTCTGAGTCTGCCTGTGCAGCCTGAAGCTTCTATTTAATAAACATGTCAAGCAGACAGAGCGACAGGAGGGCAAAGGGGAGAGGCGAAGCCCACAGAATATACTCGCAGCCCACAATGGAATGAAATACCACTGCTGGCCTGTGGGAAAGGCAGTGTTTAAAACCCATCTCTTTATTTGAGGTCTTGTTGGGTTTGAAACCAGGTCAGATAGCTGTAGCTTAGAAATTTCAGTGGATTCACTTTGCCTAACAAGGGTGAAACACAGCCCTTGAGGTGGACATTGCCAAAAGAAAATGACTGCTAAATTTTAAGAGTGTCTTCTGTCTCAGTTTCATTGCCCCAAGACAACCCCCACCCCAAATGTTTTTCAAGTCCCAAAGAGACTTCAGGAGGGCTTTTCTCCTTTAAATCAAGTCATGACACCTTCTCAGCTCAGTCCTTATTTAATTAGTGGCGTCCAGCATGTTGTGACCTAGTGCCCTCTGTTTAACCTTCACTGATAAGAGCAGGTCGAGGGGCATGTATGTTTGAATATAAAAATCAAACCAATTTTTCAAGGAAACTATATTTCCTTTTTAGCCAAAATTAATTGCTAAGTCAGTACATTGATTTGTTTCTTGAGACCACCTTCAATTGTAAAAACTGTCACTGCAAATGCAATATACAATATCACTCATCTCAAGGCCATCTGTGCCAATATGGCTTCAGAGTGAAATCAGATTCTTTGCTGGGAGGTTGGTGGTGGTAGATATTTTATCAGCCTTATTGGTATCCAGTGAAATGTTCTAATGGATGAACCGTTTGTTGCTATCACATGATAGGTTTTCAAACAAAACAAGCACACAGATCTGCGGGCTCTGATGAAGGGCAGAAAGGCACACATGGGACATTCAACATTTTTTCACTCTACATCTGCCAAGGGTCTGGGTAATCTTTTTAACTTTACTAGCTGAGTCAGTTCACATGTCCTGAGGGCCTACTATGTGCTGGCTAGCACAACACCATTATGCAATCTTGTTTGATGTTCTGTTTTGTGAGGTAGGTGTTTCTAATTTGCTTGACAGATGGGGATATGGAATCTTAAATGCTCACAAGCCTTGTCCAAGGTCATGCAATTTGTGGTGGTGGTGGTGTAACAGCTCAGTAGGGTCGGTCTGACTGTACGCCCAGGGGTCTGATGAGCATGCCTCCCTATTAAACTCTACATCCCTCTGATGCATGGAGGGAGGTGGAAGCGGGCAAACCAACACTGTCCTCACATCATTGGCTTACTCTTCTTCAGCAGCTTAGGACACTCTGATTTTGATTTTCTTCTTCAGTTCTTCTAGCCTCTTAGGGTTGTCTCAGACTATTCTTAAGTCAGACCCATGCCGAGATGTACATCTTCCTGCTTTCTACCTAAAATCTCTTTTCTTGCCCTCCTTCACTGTTCCTGCAATCTCACCTTTGGCATGCAGTTGTTTTTATAAGCTAGAACACAAGTTTCTCTGATCATGTCTATCATGAAAACAGAACTTTTCTTCTCAGGCTCACTCACTGCTATACAGTGCAAACACTTGGATATTTGAGCATCGCACACCTGATCATCAGTGGTATCTGTGTGGACAGATGAATTATTCAGATTGCTAAATAGTGTAGCAGATCATAAATGGCCTCAAATCTTTGACAGTTTTCTCACTAACAAGTGGGGCCTATGCATCTCTTTCAGTCTGTGAGAACTGTGAGTGATTTAATCAAAATAACATACTTTGGTTTTTAAAATATTTTATTATTTTTATTTTATGAGTATGAGTGTATTGCCTGCATGTATGTAAGTGCATCTCTTTCAATCTGTGAGGCTTGTGAGTGATTTAACCAATAGAATACACTTTGCTTTTTAAAATATTTTATTATTTTTATTTTATGTGTATGAGTGTGTTGCCTGCATGTATGTAAGTACATCCATGTCATGCAATGCCCATGGAGGTTAGAAGAGGGCACTGGGTCACCTGGAACTGGAGTTACAGACAGTTGTTAGCCACCATGTGGGTACTAGGATTTGAATTGGGGTCCTCTGCAAGAACAGCCAGTTCTTAACCAGCTGAGCCAGCTCTCTAGCTCTACCCTTTGCTTTTTAATTTAAAATTTTTTTTTGAGATATGGTCTCACTTGGCTGGGCTGGTCTCTAACTCAGTATATAGTTGAAGGTAGCCTTGAACTTTTATCTTCTTGTTTCCTCCTCCCAAGTTCTAGGAATATAGATGTGGACTATTTTTTTTAAAGCCCATGTTGGGTTTTAAATTATTTTTGAGGGGCTGGAGAGATGGTTTTTAGCACCCACATAGTGGTTAATAATTCCTTAACTCCACTTAACAAGTTCAAGGCCAGCTTGGGCTATATTGTGAGACCCTGTCTCAAAAATATTTTTTTTGATTCATTTATTTTTATTTTATGTGTATGAGTGTTTTACATGCCTGTATGTAAGCACACTTATGTGTACAACATCCATGGAGACCAGAAGAAGGCATAGGATCCCCTGGAACTGCAGTTATGAATGGTTGTTAGCAGCCATGTGGGTGCTGGAAACCAAACTTGGGTTCTCTTCAAGAGCAGCCTGTGCTCTTGATCACTATGCCACTGTTCCAGCCTTATCTTAGATTATCTTGGGAAAACATGGAGGACTACAGAATTAGGTTTTTGATTTTTCTAATATTATGGACCATTATGACTAAAGGTCACCCAAGAGCAGGGCCAGCTGATGTCCGTAGTGCTCCCTTGTGAGTGAGGCAGCACAGAAGGAGGACAGAAACCTGTGGTCTCCTCATAGTGACGGATGGAACTGCTGACTTAATCTAGGTGCTTGTTTATGATGTGTTATGTTTGGGGACAGTATTAATCCTAGTGAGAAGGCCCAGGAAACGAAAGCTAAGAGACAGTTTTTAGATGTTTGCTTTTTCATCGTCTTGGTAATAAGGAAATCACTTTATTTGGACCTAACTGATGGGTAGGCTTCTAGATTCCATATCCTGAGTCTTCTAATTCCTGTTGTTTCTTGATGAAATATACAGGTCTGGGTTTTCATAAAAAGCAAATGTTATATGCAACTAAAAGGAAGAATCACTGACATTTTCTGGAGCAGATCTCTCCCATTTCAGGTGTGCCTGTAAACACCCACAACTCTATACGTTATAAAACCAAGGCTAGTTCAACTGCTTTGGCAGCAGAAACACATTAATCTGATAGGAGGGATTTCTGGATAAACTAACTCTACAAAGTTGAAAATACAAGATCCAATAATACAACTTACTATCTTCCTTTTTGAACAGAATCACAGGAAGACATTAATTAAGCAACTGCACACGTGTCATCAGTTACAAAACAGAAGCGTCTCTTCCATTAGGATAGCAGAGCCCACTACCTTCATATACTTGCATCGCTATAACCTTTTCCCTCTTAGCAGAGTAATTCATCTAAATTATGGGTTCATCATCTGCCAAGTTTGTTCCTTTTTTAATGAAATCACTTGACAGTTAATAAACTGAAAGAGAAAGTCTACTCCATGGGGTTTGCTCTGTTCCAAAGGTTCAGTATTTTTGAAAATTAAATTTCCTACATGAAAAAACGTCTGTTTCTAAGCTGACAGTCTGGTATTATAGCATAAAGTCCTTTTTGTCTTTGGCTATAAAACTTAATTTATAGAGGTTTGCACAGTTAAATATAAATGCACTTTACTTTGGACACAAATCAGTTGAATCATTCATAAAGTTATATCAATCAAAATAACTGATCAATTTTGGTTCTGTTTATATAAGAAACTATTAGCTTCCTTAATATTTAAAAGTTGATGGGATGATAATACTTTATCTAAAGAATTCAAGACAGAAGGTTTATAAGAGGCAATGTGGCTTATGTTGAACTTTGGGGGTGAAGAGTTATGGGTAAACTATTTTTTAGTTCAGCTACAAATAACCTTAGACAAATTATTCACTTGCCAGCTTCTCCATCTGTAAAATGGGTACAATAATATTTTGCACGGTAGTTATGAGAATCATTAGAAAGCACAAGTGGAACATTTAATATGGTGCAAAAAATCAGTAGCTTAAAAATGGTATATATGTTTTATAATTCTACTTATAACTTAATTTCTTATGCCCCATATCCTAGAGAAGAACTTGCATCATATCTACATTAAAATATTGAATTTTGGGGGCTGGGCAGACAGCTCAGTGTCTTGCTGTATAAACTTGAGGGCCTAAGCTCAGGCCTCTAGCACCCATGTAAAATCCTGGCATGGTAATGAATGCTTGTGACTCTAGGGTTGGGAGGTGGAAAGAGGCAGACTCTAGGGCTTGCAGGCAAGCATGTCTAGTCAAAACCAGGAGCTCCAGGTTCAGTAAGAGACCCTGTTTCAAAAAACAAAGTGGAGAGCAATAGAGGAGGCCTCCTGACATTGACCTCTGGCCTCACATGCACAGGTGAGGATACCCACACACATATACACACACATAGATGCATATACACAGTGACAGACACAAACACACACATATACACAGTGAAAGATATACACACAGACACACAGACACAGACACACGCAGACATACACACAAATTAACTTTTTGTTGGTTAATACCAAGCTGAACCAAGGCTCAAGGCTCAGTACCTGAAAAGCATGCAGGTCAAGAACCGCAAAGCTGTTGAAGAAAAGTAAACTCTGAATGGCTACTTGGATGGTGTTCTGGGTATAACTCTCCTTGGGACTGGCAGTGCTGGGGTCTGAGATGGTGCCATGGAAGAGGATACAGTAGAGCATGTGTAGAACTCCAGCCAAGTCTGTGGCCTGAAGAGCAGCTGTCAACCCTGTGGGATCCTGGTGATTACTGTCGAATATGCTGTAGGACCTGACAAAGAAATATTCAACTCTTTGAGAAAAATCGAATTAAAGGATGTTAGCATTTTCATAGGTCAAATGGAAGAAGACAAGCAGACCGTTAAAAGCAAACCATCTGAGTTGTGTAATGAGGTAACAAGAAACCTCTAGGAGCAAATGCAGCGCCACCCCCCAATCCCACTTTAAGTGTACTGTGGCTTCCCTTTCCTTCCCCTGGGAGACCAGCCTGCTGCAGCAGTGGCAACTGAGCATTGTTCAGTCAGTGCTGAGGCTGCTACTGCCCTTCCCACACGTGGAAGCTTAGGATACCCCACTTTACTGAGTGCCTGGGCAAACTGCAGTCTGCGGGAACTTCTGGAACTCAGAGACCCAAAACACTGTAGTTTCATTTTCTGGATATAAAAAGGGAATCTTCTCAGGGGAGGCAGCTACCAGGAAAGCATTTGACTCCAAAAGCCTGCAATGTGTTGGCACACTGTGGTAGGACTATGCTTCAACTACTCTTTTAGGCTCTGTTCCAAAATCAAAGAGTATTAGGGGTATAGTTGTGGAGGCCAGAGTCCCCCAAACAATCAGATCGGGTCTACATAGATCATTGTAAAGTCGGATGAACCATGGAGGTATGTAGCCTTACAGATAAGCCAGAAGAGGTGATTCAGTGGTAAATGAATTCTTAAAAATCAATCAACAGTGAGGCAGCAAGCTTTTACCAAATCTGTCTCGTTTCTGAACTAAGGCACATACAAAGCATATAGAGACCAAGAGCATGCAGTCAGCACACACACAGCTGCTAAGTATTCACACTCCCCACACCTCCTGCCAGAAACAACAATGATTCCTTTCTGAGGAAACCCCTCTCCTTAACTCATAACTAATGTGCTTGATGGGGCCCTTCTTTATTTACTCTGGCTTAAAAGTGTCCATGCCTAAGGTTAAACTGTACATTTTATTTCCCCGGCTGTTGAGCATAGTTTGGAATAGCCATGTCACACTCAGAGCTAGCAGGATACAGAGGGCATATATTTTGCTAATATGCTTGGAAAGACATTCTCTCTTTTCCCTACTGGGTCTGAATCTGAGATGTTGCAAGGGTTGGAGCTGGGATAGACAGGGCTCTAACTATGGCACAAACTCTGATGTCTCTTAGTGCTGTTTCAAGTGAGTCATTTACTGCCTTTCTCCACAGAACTTGGCATCTTCCCTTGGAAGGGATGCTGCAGCTCTACACAGTGTCTTCCTTTAATCCTGTTTCATCTGTACAGTTGTCTGTGTGATATTACCTTCATGCAACAATACCCTTCTCTAGTTCTAAATATTATTAACATAGGCTTCCTCTATCACTTGTCAGCTCTTAGAGTTGAAATGGAGAATAGGAGAGGCATTAAAGATCCATGCCTATTTCATTATCTTGCCCAGAAACATTCAAGAAATGTCATCAATTAAATAAGAATCAGGTCCTGATGTAAATGCAGGAACCAGGAAAACGGAAGAAAACCAGCAAAGTAAAGGGAAAGAAGGAACCTGAGAGAGAACAGTAGGAGACAGGTGTTACTAAGGGAGGAATGTGTAAAATGGAGGTAGTTAAATGGGAGGGGGAGAAGGAGGTCTATACAAGGAACTATGGGGATAAAGGGGAAGAAGGCACTCAAGGAAGGTGGAACCATAGCAGACAGAAATTATCAAGGGAGAAATGGGGAAAATGGGGACACTCTAAATGGGAAGGGTGGGAAGGGAGGATAAGACAGGGAGAGAGAGAAAAAGGAGAGATAATGCCTAGCTAGTATAAAGAAACAAAGGGAATCGTATTAGTCCAAAAACCTACTGAAAAATTACACATACAATATCCCTACACGATTCTGTGAGTATAGCTGAAGACTATATAACAAGAAACAGTGCCAGACAGGAGAAACCTTCCTTTGAGTTGTTGGCCAGGGTAGTCCAAGAGGCTCCCAAAATTATACAGGTTATTGCCACAGTCCTTGGTTGCCTCCCAGAACTTGATGGTAAGACCCTATGGCTGAAGGCAGGATACTTCAGACACAGGATTTGGAACAATGGAACTGCAACTGACCTGGAAGCCACCTCCCCTGAAGGCTAGCTCTCATAGCTTTGGTGAGCACTACACAAGTGGGTAAGGGAGAACATCAATCAATGGTCCAACCCCAGCTTCAGGGCCTAAAAACTGCATCAATGACCAGTACAGCAAATAATATTGGCGGAGTAGTGGCACTTCTATCTTGGGGGTAATTAGCAGCTACCTAATTGGACTTAAAGTCCACTCAGTGGGAAGAAAGTCAGGTGTGATACTGTAAACCTAGCCAAATAAACACAGCCGGAGGGGTCACAGATCTTAGAGAAAACCCCAAGGCTGTCACATCCCTGGACAAAAGTAATTTCTTACTATGTGCAAAATATGGAGCCTTAAAATTTACAGAATGTGGGCCCTTGGACAGGTCTTCTATATTAAAATCCACCACCCAGGGCTCGGACCACTGCAGAAGAGGGGGTGGAAAAGTTGTAAGAACCAGGGAGGAGGTGCAGGACCATCCAGAAACAGAGTTCTACAGGCTCCTGGAACTCTTCTCATATAGCAATGGTGTCAGCATGCACAAGACCCATGCAAACTCAAGAAGACAAAAACCTAGCACGGAATTGTGGAAATGGACAGCAGGCCCCAATCTTAAGAATTTTGTGTGTGTGTGTGTGTGTGTGTGTGTGTGTGTGTGTGTGTGTGTTTTGAAGAATTATTGGCAGCTGATTACTCCTGGGTGAGGAAGAGCTAATTTTCTTAAAGGGGGAGACTCTAGATAGGCTGACTAGACTTCAGTGGATGAACTAGCACTGAGGGACAACTGGGGGATACTAACTTCACATGATAGACCTTAACACAAATGACAGAATGTATGAATTCCACTTGGGGGGGTGCTAAGAGAGGGGGGCAATGGGGAAGGGGTATAAAGGTAAGATGTTCTGTATGAAATACACAAAAATTCAATTAAAAATGTCTCTAAAAAAATAAGAACCAGGAGGATTGGTTGATGAGTTTCTAGTGCCTTTTCTACTTTTCCCAATTCATAATTTATTTTCCCCAAAGGGATCATTTTATTCATTTCAATTTGGTAGTTGCATCAAAGTAGAGTTCTATTCCTAACTCTAGTCACCATTTATGTCCTGAGTGTCTTCTGTTTCTGATACTGCTAAGAATAAAACCATGTACATGACATCCTCATGTACCTTGTTCTATGCCATGAAAGAAGCTCTCATGAAACACTATTATCTCATGCATGGGGTGGAATCTTCTATGGACTTCAGAGTTTGCCTCATCTCCTTCCTGTTTTCATAATAGGGAGGGAAGGTGCTGCTCTTCTCATGCACACAAAGCAACTAAGACCTAAAGCAGATCAAGTGAGCTGCTGAGCCTCACACAGACTTGTGAGCAGCAGAGGTGTGTGGGGTTCTGCACAGCACTTGTCATTTGTGTCTAAGGATCAAATAGGAAAAACCTCTTATTTCTTTTTTGCCTTTTCTTTAGTCAAAATTTGCAATTAACCAGATATTGATGATGCATGTACACACTACAATACAGTTTTGTGTCATCAGAAGAATTTTTTTTGGTCTTAAGGTTACTCAATAATAACACAAGTTTAAGAAAAGGCATTTAATTGATTATAGGCATATTTGGACATTTTCACAAACTTGTTAGCTATTATCAGTTCATTCTTCCTTCTATTACTGTCAAAAGAATTAGGGGTCAGACCCTAACTACAGATACGAGAAGAGATTAATGTGTCTGCAGTTATATAGTTGCAAAAAGAGACCTGTGTTTGTATGAAACTGCCTTTTCAAACCAGACAACTCAGAAGACATTTTCCCTAAAGCTAATTTCTTACAGGTTTTCAGACCCATGAGGATGAGTGACACAACTCCTGGTGACAAGAATTTTACTTCCTGAGACTCAGAATGCCGACTTCCCCTCACTGTGCCTGCTGCTTTTCAACAGATTATTAGCATATCTACAGATATTCAGGAATATAGGTCCATCACTAAAAATACTATAATAATCTAAGGAAGTATTAAATGACGTGAACCCACTATTTCCTCTTCCAAAGAGTAAATGCAAAGGTCCATTTCCCAAATCCCAAAGGTCATCGTAATAGCTCTTCTCTTGTACCATTGTTTAGGAAATCACTAACTTGAAAGATTATAAAACACAGCCTCACATTTTTGCAAAAATTTTCTGAAGGAAATAACAGTGCTGCCTGAGGAAAATCAACTAAGCATTTAAGAACTCAGATGTGAAAATGGTTCAAAATGCATTTAATATTTGCTTTAAGGAAAAGGAAAAGTATATTCCTCTTAAAGGGAGCTAATGGGATATAAAAGGCCTGGGAAGGCTTGTGTATGGCTCTTTGCTTCCATGAGACTAATGCAGACTGGAAAGGATTTTAGGTAATTTTGACTTAAAAATGTTCAAACTGTATTTATTTATTTATTTATTTTTATTTATTTATTTATTTATGTGTGTATACATGTGCACATGTACCACACAATGCGGAGGCTGAAGGACAACTCGTGGGTGTCAGATCTTTCCTTCCACCATGTGGGTACCAGGGATCAAGCTCAGGTTGTCTGGCTTGGTGGCAAGCACCTTTACCTGCTGAGCCATCTCATTGGCCCTATGTTTACTTTTGACTTAACCTGAGCCTGAATACAGATAATTTGCCCATGAACAGGCTACTGGCTCCTGCTAGGTCTTAACTGTCAGTTATAATCATTTAAAATTTAAGTGTTTATAATAAAGAGGTAAAGGGCTTTATTCATATCAATCATGAGTTATAAAGTTTTCTTTAAAAAATACATGGGATGGGCTGGAAAGAAAGCTTTGTGATTAAGAGCACTTGCTGCTCTTGCAGAGGACCCAGGTTCAGTAGTCAGCACTGACATCAGGCAGCCTACAATCACCTGTACCTCCAGTTCCAGGGATTCTGACACCCTCTTCTAGTCTCCACA